TTTCTAAGATATTCAGGGCCGAAAACAACAACCTCAGTCTGAAATCTTTACTACCGTTTTTAATCCTTACAAATACTAATAAAAATATAAATTGTAAATGTTCTCTGTCATAATTAACAGCCCACCCTCGAACAACAAATAATATGCAACTGTAAAGTTTGACTTGCTGAATTATGGTGTATACCTGATAAATTCACTGACAATTAAAGCAAAAAGAATTGATAAATCTTGGCTCTAATTTGTTGCTGAATCAGTGTTTGTGTTTTTAGAATGGCATATTGAACATACTCAAATGTTTTATTGCTACATAAAATGATTGTGGTTCACACAAACATGCATTCTTTTCCTCCCTGCTGTATTCATTTTAAATTATGCAAAACACAAAAAGGGACAGCATGAAAACATTTGTAGGGCCACATAAAATATCTGCAGTTTGTGATGTGATAATAAAATGAAAACAAATGATTTTCATTCCAGATTCAAAGTACTAAAGACAATGAGATCCCCTGGTTTGTCTCTGTCTAAAAGTGAAAAAAAAAAGGACTGAACATCCAGCCTTTTTATGGGAATCGGGATACAGAGTGATAAAATTGAGTTTATTTAAATAAATAGTTAATCATGTTTATATTGTGGAAGTCTAAGAGATGTGAGATTCTCTGAGTTTGCCATCTATGATTAAGAAAGAAGTTATATTAAGTATGCTGTGATTGGTAAACACACAACATTCATGTGTAATTAGTACATGATTATGCATGAAGTGTATGAAGGAAAGTACAGTGGAACCCCAGCTTACGAAGACCCCATTTAAATTCAAGTTACAAAGGCACTTAATGGCAATAATAATAATAATAATAATAATAATAATAATAATAAATACATATAATAACATATATATGTAATTATCTTATGTGTATGATTTCCTTTGACCAGAATGGTCTTGCAAAAAGAGATTTGGTCCTCTGTATAAATAATGGTTAATTATCCCTAAAGTAAAAGGTCTTACTTAAATGTTTATATACTCACTTTATAAAAGCACCAAGCTGTTCTTTGTCGTCTATATGGTGCTTGATTTTGTTCATTATGCCTTTCACGTCAGCAAGAGCATTCTAGCTTCTGTCAGAGTGAAAGTAAAGAAGTGTTTAGCAGGAATTAGGAACCATTATAACAAAATGAGCAAATGAGCAAAATAAACAAACTGATATACATAATGAGCAATGTATCGCATTCTTACTGACCACTTACCAAATGTAAAATGTATGGCAATAAGTTTATTGTTCAAGTCAAGTTTGATTTGAAATTACATTTTTTTTTTTCATTTTATTTTACTACATCTCTGTCATGGGTCAAAGATGCTATGAGGTGCCGTAAAGAACATTATTACTGAAACACTCACCACTGAAAACCAAGCCATTTCAGATGAACAGGAGGTTTTTTCCTGACAAGGAAAAAGTGGTACATTTCAAACCGCTACACAGATGTCTACTCAATAACCTGCTAGTAGCCTAAGTGAAGCAGCCGCATTACTCTGTCAAATGCAACAGCCGTGGGCAGTCGGTTGTAAGACTACGGTCAAGTGAGTCCTCACTAATATTTCAAACTAAACAGGTTTTCTAGATCAAATCCACCACCTCTCATACTTTGAATAAATTAAAAATACACACAAAATGGGCATATCACATCAATGATCGACCTGCTCATTACTATGTCCACCTTGTTACTGTGGAAAACGAGGAAGACGTTTTTTGCTTAAATTAGCCATTATCACTTAAGTCAGGGGTTCTTACATTTTGTTTGTTTTTATCTCAGGGCCTGACGTTTTCACTACAAAGTGGCCCAGGGCCCATTCAGATATTAACACTGTATTGAATAAATTAATTTTGCTTTTGGTTTGATTTATATTTAATAACTAAATCAATTCTACCTCATTTTAACAGCTAAAACCTTGCCAAATAAACATGATGATGACATGATGCAATGTAAAAATCACAAAGACATTTATTTATTACATGTATGTGAACCTGGACATAAAAAATGCCAAACAGGTCAATAATTCATGAAACAAATCAAACTGCAAGTAGAAATTGAAAGGCTCAAGTCAAGCTTAATAACACAAAAAAAAAATTATAATAAAATTTTACTACAGCAAAAGAGACAAGAAAAAAGGGACTGATCTAGTTGTAAAGAGAAAAAATGAGTATTTTTTTCCGCCTCATTTCCTCTGTTCACAAACCCATGCTTCAGGAAGTCAAAGCTGTACTTGCGCAAACATTTTGACTTTTGGGAGGGGGTTGTCACCTTTATCTTCCTTTTTGTATTTTAAGAACTTCTCCATATATTTTGCTAACTGCAAACAGCAGGCAGACTTGTCTTTTTCTTCTTGCTTTTTGAGGCTGTTTAGAATTGAAATGACATCTAGAGATGGCACGATACCACTTTTTTATGTCCGATACCGATATCATAAATTTGGATATCTGCCAATACCGATATGAATCCGATATAATGTGTTTTTTAATCAATAAAATGTTTTTTTAATATCTTGCTGCATTTTGTATAAGTTTATACTCAAGTTTAAATAAATAACAACACTAAAGCTATTCTGTTA